GATAAGTGGAACATCAAGGGCACTGAAAAGGAGAGAGGGTTGTTAACACCTGTGGAATAAAGAGTTCAGAAGGAAGGAGTGATTATAATGAGCCATGAAGACAAATGATTCCCTAACTGCTGCCTGAATAGGAATGCTGCTGCCAGACAGCCAGTTTTAAAATTTGGGAGGCCCAGGAATCAAAGGAGGGGGGTGTGACTTTACCACTGCTTCCCCCCTGGATCTGCCCCTGATATTGCCTCCCATTTGGCACTTGGGCAAGTTTGGAGCAGAAAAGACTGAGTTACACATAACAAACTTATGGTGGCACTCCCAATTGTAGTATGGAGTTACTGTGCTTTTGTACAGCATTTAGTATGGTACCTTAATCCCAGCTGGTCATCCTTGAGAAGCTACTGTAACTAGCGGTAGAAATTAATAATGAGCAACATCTGACATTTGTATCTAGAGGGAATATGCAAGAGCTGCAAAAGCAGTGCTCTGGTTTACATGTGCCCTACTTTCTATTCAGATGTAAGAGGTTCACTCTATTTCCTTTCATTTTAAAATAGCCCAGCTTCTTAAAAACCTTCATTAAAAAAAAAAGGTGAGATTAGAGACTAGCAGTAGTGCACATACTCTAAAAATGCACAGGTTTAGGCAAATAACAGATGTCTGCAGCTTGTGGCTTTGGCCTTCTTTGAGGCTTTCAGGAAAACAATCTTAATAAGCAGGTACTAAGGTTGGAATTCACTCCTAGGCTAGTACAAGATCTATCCACCAATGAAATTAAATGAAATCCAATGAAATTAAAGCTCCAGGGAGAATTCAGTGATGTGTGGGCTTTGTGCTGGATCTCTGCACATGGCAGATTTCACCTTCCATATATGTGTGTATATATATATATATACACTGCCTGTGTGCTTCATGCAGGAACTTTGCTATGAAGCATGACCTACTTGTTCACTCTGGATCCCTGCGTGCCAGGGTTGAGGCAATGTAATGGGCTTGGGGTGGGGCTGAAGCCACGATCTGAGGCACACTGTCCCTGGCATGATGACTGGTGTGTGCTCAGCACTGCTCAAAGGTGGCTACATTCCCATCACTTTGGGTAGGTGGTGCATATGGAGTGGGAGTGAATGGGTGCAGCATATTCCATGGTGATAATCCCAGGCATGACATGGAGGTGATATAGAAATGCCCAGAAGGTGAAATTCAGCCCATGCAGATGGCCAGCATATATCCTACTTGAGCTTTAGTTTAAGGATTTCATTGGCCTATAGGCCTTGTGCTAGCTAGTCCAGGAGTGAATTTCACCATTAACCTGCCATAAAAGGATGATGAAGGGGCTAAGGTGGTATGCTAGAGGGGGTAACCAGATTGCCAAAAAATTGTGTTTCTTTTATTCTTTTAAGATTCACCTTAATTTGCATTTCTTGGTTGTCCAACATATTATTATTATTATTAGCATCAGCAGCATCATTGTGCTGTTGTTGTTATAATGATCAGTATTATGTAATTTCAGCCTTCTTGTAACATTTTTAACATTAATTTAATTGTCATGTATTCCCTGGCTTACCTCCAATTTAGTAAAGTGATTTATCTGGGGAATTTTACTCATAATTATGATGGCAGTGCCCAGCAAGCACTAATAATATTGTTGTACTGAAACACAGCCCCATGTATCTTTTTCTGTCTCTCTGAAATACAGACATATACTGTGCCCTTCAGAGGAAATTCCACTGAGGCCCCTGTCACACATTAAACTTAAGATGTGATTAACCAGTTAATCATGTCTTAAGTTGTGACCCAACTACACATTCAATTAATGGTGAAAAAGAGGAATAGGCATGTAATAACTGTGTGGCTGGTTCCTATCACACCATTAACCGAACATGTGGCCAAGGTCAGTTAAAATAAAAAAGAAGGTGAGATTAGAGACTACCCCTGTGACTGGGAGCCCCATTAGCTGATGTGGCTCTCAGCTGCAAGGGTGCACTATGTGCCCTCACAGCTGGGAATCTGCAGCTGATCTGGGCTCCCAGCCACAGGAAGTCATGATGTGTCCCCATGGCTGGGAGCTTCATCAGCTGAGGGGGCTCCCAGCTGTGGGCCCTTGCTACTTGCTGATGCAGGGGGAGCCCAGGATCATCATGCCCACGATCATGGCCCGGGCACCACATAGGGTAACTAGGAATAATGGCCACAAGTTGATAAAGAGCTGGTCCAGGCTAGACATCAGGAGGCATTACTTTATGGTTAGGGCAGCTAGGACCTGGAACCAACTTCCAAGAGAAGTGGTGCTTGCTCCTACCTTGGGGGTCTTTAAGAGGAGGCTGGATAGACACCTGACTGGGGTCATATGACCCTAGCATCTGTTTCCGCCCAAGGCAGGGAGGTGGACTAGATGATCTGTTTAGGTCCCTTCTGACCCTCGCTACTATGATACTATGATAATCATGCCTTACACGGGCAATAAGGCATGATGGGAGCAGATGCGTGATCCTACAATCAAGCCTCCTGCCATGCATGTGTGACCCACATCTGATCCCACTGCATCTTTACCTGCATGCCTGGTAGGAGACTAAATTTCATTTGTTAATTGAATAAATTACTCTTAATACACAGCTGAAGCTGAAAAATACAGCATGCAATATTTAGGAAATTCCAAAGAGCTCAACAATAAATCAAACTGGACAAAGTATGACATCACCCTGGCTAGCATACCACCTTAGCCCCTTCATTGTCCACTTATGGCAGGTACTAATGGTGAAATTCACTCCTGAGCTAGCACAAGATCTATCTGCCAATAAAATCCTTAAGCTAATGCTCAAGTGGGATTTATCCTCTGCTAGTGCCTGCTGGGAAATACTTTCTAATGTAGTATTACTGCAACTGTGGTACTACTGCAACTGAACTGTTCTGAGCATAATCTTTGGTGACTGAAAGTTCCAGGAGTTATCTTCCAGGGACACCTTTACCTTTCCAGTCTACTTCTTCTGTGTCTTCTTTCTCCTGCTAAGGCCTCTCCTCTCCTTTTCAAGTTCCTAAGCCCCCTGATTATGTCTTTTGTTCCGTCTCAAAGAGAACAATATGAAGAAACTGCAGGTACCCTCAAAAGCCATGCTTATTAATATATGTGTATGTATGCATACACATGCAAACATACGTGTGTGTGTATCTATGTGTATGTGAACATATATAGAACACCCTGAAGTCCAGCAGGCAGACAAACTATTTACAGTGGCAATAACATATTTGAATACCTTGCAATTGTCAAATGCAACATAGATTTCTCATGGAGAAGAGATCTCTAGAGATCATACATTTTCTCTCTCCCACTATCCATCCCAGACTACCTTCTTCCTCTCTATCTGCATTCTGTCTCCAGTATAAGTGATTGGAAACTGGTTTATACCCATAACAGAAGTCTGGCACACACAACCAGTCTATACCCATAGCAGAAAAGAAGTTCAGAGCACACAGGGTGGTTTAAAAACGGCAGAACCCAATCTAAGATTTGTCCCCTCAACAAAAGAGTGAATATGTGTTCTGTTTGCTATCAATCTAAATGACGCCACTTACAGAAAACCACATAACTTAGATCAATTCCTCATTGGGCTTTTTGAATGCCTGTACCTAAATTTTAAGTCTCACCCCAACTCTGTATCCTTTTCTGTCTACTTTTATGGTAAGGTTCTTATAGAACTAAAGAAAAAATGGTGACTTGTACATAGTGTTTTTTAGCCAAAAAATATATTCCCACTACAGAAAGGATGAGATCCACCATTGAAATCTATTGTTCTTAGTGTAATCTCT